TTTTGAAAATGTAAACAAATCACGCTTTTAACAGTCAAATAAATGTAGCAGAGAATCACAGTTTTTTATATATTTAAACATCTTTATATTGTTTTTATCATTTTTGAATCAACAATTCAATTATTTTTATTATTATTTCATTCTATCAAAAATATGCAAATAATAACTACTAAGTAAAACTTTAAAAATATTGTTGCTACTCAGAAAAAATTTTGGTATCTAAAGGCCGTCACCATCTTTAAAATTATAATATTTGAATTTGACACTGCGCTTGCGTATAATAACTTTCCACATTTAAACGACCGTGAGATGTCTAAATCTTATTGTTAGAACTTGGTTCTTGATATAGCTATATATACTATACTATACTAATAGTATATCAAGTATATATACACATAGTATAGCATATATTCAGTTTTAAACCGTTTCTTTCATTATCTGTAAAAATTTCATTACCTGTATCAATATTAGCACAATTTTCAATTAATAACAAAAATAAACGTGTCTATTAGCAGTGGCGGGTTGAGGTTTAGTGTCGCGGGGGGGCCAAGTCAATAAATAAGGGCGACCGGGGCCTTCAGTAATTTAATCTTATATATATATATATTTTAATTTTTTTAGGGGGCGCCGTTAGACCGTTCTAGGGGGCGTGGGGGGCAGCTCGCCCCCTTACGCCCTATACTAAATCCGCCACTGTCTATTAGTTGTTGTAAAAAGACTTTTTTTGTAATTGAATGAAAACTTTATTAAAAATGCGTTACTTAAAAATTTTATGAAGTTCTAGCGCTTGCGTGATTTAACTGATTTATTTTTATTTTAATAAAGCATTCTGGATATTTTTTGGACGAAAAAATTATTGGACTCAAATAAGACGTACAAAAGACGTTTAGAATTTTAATGGGACGGACGGACGCGATTTGAACGTCCTAAGGACGTCTTTTTTACGTCCTGTGCCCACTGGGTACCGATGTATAAATAGAAAAATAGCACTGCCAAGGCAGTGCTATTTCTTTTAAAGAGAAAAAAAATTGTATTTTTTAATTGTTTTTATAACATTTTGTGTCTCAAAATTTTATTATTGATAAATATTTAATTTTAATGCTTTTCTAATCAAAATTCCAACCAAAATTGAACAAATCAAACTGAAAAACTAACAAAAACATTGAAATTATTGCAAAATAGTAAAATTGTTTGAAGTTAAAACATTGCAATCTACTCTAATTTTTTAAAGATACACTTAACATCTAAGAGTGCTTTATTTAACAGACAAATATCTTTCTCGCTTAGACATTGATTAATTTTTTTACAATACTTTACGGAATAAAGTATGGTACTTATTCTTATCTAATAGATGGAAAAGAATTGTATCAGACTATTTTATAAAAAATTCGGAGTAAATTGATAAATGATTCTAAATGGAAACTTCAGATTGTAACATTCTCACCAAAAACTTTATCTTGGGCCAAATTAAAAATATCTTTGTTCTTCAAAAATTTGCTAAAAGAGCGAAGTGTTTGTTTTCTTACTTCATGTTTACTAGTTTAATATATTCATATTAAATTCTATCCTACTTTTTTGGCTTTAATATAATTTTTTTACGTTTTAATGTTACACATCTAATCTATTGTTACAAATCTAAAAAAGAAATAAATTTTGTATGATAAAAATAGAGAGCTAATAATTTCTTAAGTGACTTTAACAAGATAAAAACTGGAGATTCTTGTTGTAGACAAAAAATTTCTACCTCTAAAAAACTGAAGATTAAAAAAGCTTAAAGCTTCTCTTTTTTTTTGAAAAATTAATACCTTGCTTTACAAAAAAAGGCTCCGAGAAGAAAAATTTAATAAAAAACGACGCACAGTTCGTGAGCAAATAGTCTCATCCTTAGGCGCTTTGCTATTATGTTAGACATCTTTATTATTATATAGTTATTGCCTATGACTGTCTTTATGTAAAAAATACAAAATCTTTTTTTTCCTCCATATTTTTATTTTCTCTTGTAGTATCAAAATGGTAAGATAATAAAACGACGAAAGATAATAAATGTTATTAAAAATTATGTATTCAATTTGTAGCATACTATCACAGAAACTTGTTCATCATAAGTAAACTTCTTTTAAATAAGATAATAAACTAATAAAAACTTAAAATACATTGAATAGTAGAATATTAAATCAAGAAGTTTATTTTAATAAATTTATAACAAATTTTAAAGAAGAATACTACCAAATAAAAGTAAACAACACGATTGTATTTGTGAAAATATACTTAGTTAAAAATGTTATTAAAAAGTATGTATTCAACTCGTAGCATACTTTCACAGAAACTTGTTTATTATAAGTAAACTTCTTTTAAATAATAAACAATGACTGAAAAATAAAGTATTAAATATATTATTAGTTTTGTCGGTTTTAAATACAGTTTACCTGAAAAAAATCAAGTAATAAAACAAAGAAAATTCAATCAAATGAAATGTTATGACTAATTAGATGACTTAAATAACTTTTATTTTAGTAGAGATAAAATGTTTTAATGTTGCTTGACATGCGCATTGTAGTCATTTATTGAAATTCATATCCGTACGTGCGTCAAGCAGTTTATAATTGTAAATCGCCTCATACAACTTTTATCTACGTTGTTTGAGTCATAGATTAAACATTTTTTAAGTTACCTAATAGGTAACTAGACAAAACAAGTCATAGAACCACAATAAATATAAACAGTTTATTAAATCAAGACAAAAATATTTTATTATAAATTTTTTCATCAATAACATTTTATTATAAATTATTTCATCAAAAACCCAGTTATGATGAGTTAAGTTAAAAAATAAGTTAAAACCCAGTTATGATGAGTTAAAAATGAGCTATCTTTAAAAAAGAATATTAATTCAAGTGTTATTAAATCAACGAAGAATTAACAAAATTTTTATATTATATATAAATTTATACTTTACTATATACAATATACTCTTGTTATACTCTTAATATATGCTTGTTATTTATTTTAACTTTCATAAAATCAAGAACATACAAATTAAACATTAACGTAGAGGTTTAATAAAATATTTATACAAACACCAGGCATGACCTTTAATAATTAAATATTTCTGTTTAACTTTCTATTCAACTCGAATTAACATATAAAACATCAAATCAAAATATAATTTTTTGGAAGTACTGCATTCTTATGTAAAATTAAATTTGTATTTCGGTTTCCTATAGATTTAATTATTTACCATTTTGATACTTTAATATCCGCTTGCTAAGTAATGATGTTTGCCTTTGATGTTTTGGCAAACACGTGACTGACAACTTATAGTTTGAAAAATTTATTCACAATAATAATTAGTTATTCAGACCCAGCCGGAAGTTTCACTTTCGGAATTAAAACTCGTATGACACTTGTTCGTCACGATCCAGGCGTAAATTAAAAAACCCGTTGATTTCCCGAACAGTTTTACTCGAGTTTAACTCTTGTTTTGTGAGGTTTTAAAGTAAAATTTAAATGCTTTTATTACTAGTTTCATATTCTTTACGGAAACTTAGTATAATATTATACTACTATTCTGTATCGGAGAAACCAATGGAAACCCAGTTCTTAACTATGTTATTCTTTTTGTTAAAGGGGCTTTAATCACACTACAGAACCATGCGTAACTTTTTACGGATTTGCGCTTACTGGGTAGTAATTAAAAGTAATAATTATAATAATTTTACTTTATTATCGAAAAATACATTAGGATGTTTATTTTGGCAAAGATTAACTTTATATTTTAAACTATTTTCAAAATAACATTCCTAAGGTTTTGTACTCGAAAAATATATATATTTTGATTGGTTGAATAAATTTGATTGGTCAAAAATGATTCATCTGTCTACTATTGGTTAAAAATGATGTCATAATAATTAGTCATATTTAATTTGCTTTAGAAGGCCTTTATATATAAAGGCCTTCTAAAGCAAATTAAATATGACTAATTATTATGACATCATTTTTAACCAATAGTAGACAGATGAATCATTTTCGACCAATCAAATTTTTCAACCAATCCAAATATTTATCACGTGATTTTTGCCTATAAATACTTGCGCTTCGAGTAACTTTCATATAATACTTTGTTGTGCTTCTACAGTGTTAGAACCAGCGCAGTTTTATAATACTTTATATCAAACTTAAAACATCCACAAAAAAAAAAAAAAAAACATGGTTTCTCAATGCAGACAAAACTTTCACGATGAAAGTGAAGAAGCAATTAACAACCAAATAAACATGGAGTTGTATGCAAGTTATCAGTATCTTTCTATGGTAAGTTTAAAAAACTACTTTTTTTATAAGCGCGTTTAACGATGTTACGGATTTTTACTCGTAGACTGCTTGCAATTCGTAATATCACTCGTAAAAAATTTTCTTTTCGTAAGTAAATATATAAACTTCCAGCGAAAAAATATTTTTTTAATTTTTTGTTATCTTGATTATGGTATTTTCAAGAATATTTATTTTCGTTGCTTATTTGATTTTAGTAAAGTTTTCTTATTTGATTTAGTAAAGTTAGTAAACTAAATGTTTGGCTTTAGTTAATACTGATTGTAATTGTTTTAAAATAAAGTATGTTCAAATAATTCGTTTTTTGTAAAATGTTTTCGTTTAATTATAATAATAAAGTTGATAAACATGCAGGATGTTAGATTGAATAAATTATTAATTACTTTTATTATGCGATTAAGAAGTTTAATTATTAAAATGAAAATGAGTTTTTCTGTTTAAAATCACTAAATGGAGAATATTTAATTACAAAAAATAGCAAATCAAAAACTTTAATTCAAGTTTACATGAAGTTTACAAGGGAATTAAAATGCTTAACTTAACTCAGTCTAAGTTCCATTGCAACTTAATAAATAGTCTAATAAATATCTCTCTCTAATATTTAATAACTCTAATAGTCTAATAATTTTTTTTATTTTTTTATTTTGGGTATTATTAAATTATTAATTTTTTACAGGCTTATCATTTTGATCAAGATGATGTTGCGTTAGCTGGATACTTCAAGTTTTTCAAGCATCAATCAGATGAAGAACGTGAACATGCTCAGAAAGTAAATATTTTTTTTTTTGTTTTAACTTTTTTTTAATTTTAAAGTTTGTTTTGATTATGTTTAAAACAGTTTTTAATGTTTATACTCTTATCGTTTTCAATTTTATAGCTTATGAAATACCAAAATAAACGTGGTGGTCGTGTAGTTTACAAGGATGTTCAAGCTCCCCAATTTCAAGTGAGTACGCCAGTGTCAGCTTTAGAAGCAGCGCTTGAATTGGAAAAGAAAGTAAACGAGTCGTTATTAAATGTCCATGCCATTGCTGGAAAACACAGCGATCCTCATTTGTGTGATTTCTTAGAATCAGAATTTTTGGATGAGCAAGTTGAGTCAATCAATGAGATTGCTAAATTGATTACAAACGCAAAGAGATGCGGCGATGGTTTGGGTGTTTATCAATTTGATAAATTGAGCTTGTCAAGTTAAATGTCAACTATTTTTGATTGTTTTGCCTTGAGGACTATACAGAGCAAACAATGTTTATTGTTAAAGATTTTTTTTTTAATTTAAAGTTAAAGAGTTACCTGATATATTTTCGCTCAATTTTTTTAATAAGTGGCGTGGCAATTTAATAAGTGGAGGCGTGTTTTGTGCAACAAAATAAGCGTTTTTTTTGTTTTTTTTTGTTTTTAAAGAAGCGATATCAAAACCCATTATATTGTAACTAGCTGACCGGACCCGTAAAAACGCTTATTTTGTTACGGGTCTTTATAAGTCTATTTAAAACTGAGCATTTCTACAGGTAATTTTTTCTCTACATAAATATTTTACTGTTTGGACCCTTAAAATAACAAACCAATATCTTCTATATTTATCTATTCAACACTGATAATTTTTATACTTATTTCTTTTTTACTAAAAAGTTTTTAGTTGAATAAGTTTAAAAAATTGTTTTAAGATAAAAAAAAAAATTATCATGCGCACCTTTTCCGTGCATTACCTAGAGCTTAATATAGCGATTATCCCTATAGGACGCTTAATAAACAGGAGAGGTATATAGAGTAGTGTATATACTTTATATAAAACCCAATAAAGCCAGTTTTGAAAGTCAGTTGCCATCTTGGTTAACCCAAAACATAAGGGTTTGCGCGCAACTTTATATTTTTAGAGAAAACTTTGTTGAGAACAAGTCAAAATATAGGTATAAATGATTAAAGTTAGCCAGTTGTTTGCAAGGTTGTAATAAACTACAAAGATCTGTTTTCTAACTGATTATCGGGTTCAGTTTATTCCAAAATAATGAATACTGAAGAAAGTAGACATTTAGATAGTAAACACGCTTTTTAAAGATGCCACATTTTACACAATGTGAACATCTTATGGAATAAAAAAAAATTGTTTGTGATTTTTTTATTAAAGTTTAACAAAATTAAATGTAAGCATAAATAAAACATATATATTAAATATACATATTTATCTCTTAACGGTATAAACCCCCAAAATTTTTCAAAAATCAAAAAAATTTTTTAACTGTTTTATATATTTTAATGAATAGGGATTTCAAAAATTATAGTTGCTATATCTAAAAATGTATCTAAGTATTAAAATTTTGATTTTTTTAAGAGTAAAAGTATTAATTTTAAGTTTATTTACTCCTTAATAGTAGTACACCTCGATAAATGACTACTATTGCAAAAAAATTCCTATTAAGTTCTCAGATATAAAGCCTTTTTGGCTTCTTGTTAGATTTGTATATGATGAAACATACCGCTTTTAATTCAAAATTCTTGTAATCTTTTTAAAGTTTTTATCATGGTAAAAATAAATAGAGGTAAAGTCAGAACACAGCGAGAAGTAAAAGAAGAAAGATTTTTAATGTTAAGGTGTCTTGTTACAGTGAAGTTGTAAATATTCCCTCTTTAAGTGGTAATAATGTATGTTTTGTTTATAATAAAACTGACGTTTCCAATAAGTTGAGTTCTTCTTATCATGAGTTAAAGCTCTTTTCAATTCACCACCAAAACAGAATTCTGATTTCAAAAACAAAGATGTGACTGGTTACAGAATAATTGACTGTTTTTATTTGGCTGATGCTGTAAGTGTTTTGTGCTGCCCAGCTTGTTTACAAATGACTTTAACATTAATTGAAAACAAAAGCAAAAAGCGAGAACTTGCTTGTGAACTTTCAATTATTTGTTTAAAATGTAAGTATCAAAAAGACTTTTACACTTCTAAATTAATCAATAAAAAAGAAGCTGTGGTATAAACACATATATAATATATACAATGCAAACTCCTGGAAAAAGACATTCTGGGCTTCTGAAATTTTACAACCCTCATGAACAATGCCAAAACCAATAACGCGAAAAAAAAACTATGAACTTGTTTAGAAAATAGCAAATATTACAGAGGAAGCTGCACAAGAAGCAATGACTGATGCTTAATTAAGACAATAATGTCTTAATGATGAAATTTTGGGTATTGGTGTATCATGTGATGGCACATAGTAGTGTTGGAGATTTTCCCCATTAAATGGTGTCTTTTATTGTCAACCTTGTCATATTTTTCACCTTGAGACTGCTTAAGTTTAGTGTGTATAATACAGGTGCTAATTTTAACATTAGAATGAAATCATCAAGCCTTATTTTATAAAAAACTTAATATAATTCTAGGTTTTTATACAATAAACGGTTTGAATTACATTAACAAAATGGTCAATTTATCGAGGAAAACTTCATAATAAATTGCATCGTCAAACATTAAGAGCAAAAAAAATAAAGAAAATTGACAAAACTTTAGAAAAAGAAGATAAAACATCCAAAAAAGTCGTTTCTAATTTCAATTAGATTTTTATATGTAATATTTGGTATATTTGTAGATTTTTAATTCATTTTTTTAGTTTTTTGTGTTTTCTCAGTTTGAGGTTTTTCAATCTGCCGGTGACGCGAAATTAAAATAACTTCCCGAAAAGTTAACTTCCGGTTTAAACATTTTAACTCCCCGGTTAATCTATTTCGAAATAAATTAACCCCGGGAGTTAAATTATTTTAAAACATGGCGAAATAGATTAACCGAGGGCTTAAATATTTCTAACCCCCATTGTAATAAATTAACCCCTTTTAATTCGCGTTTTAAATTATTTAGCTTATAATAAGTTCTACAAAATTGCGTAGGTAGTTTTTTCTAATTTATTTTTTTAATATATATCTTCAGTTAGCGTTGAATAAAATTATTTTGTAACTGTTTATTTTTGCTAAGTTTGTATATTGTGGTGAAAACATTGAGCACTCTATTTTGTAGAATACATTTTTAAAATTGTTTAAACACACACACACACACACACACACACACACACACACACACACACACACACACACACACACACACACACACACACACACACACATATATATATATATATATATGTATATAAATATATATATATATATATATATATATATACATATATATATATATATATATATATATATATATATATATATATATATATATATATATATATATATATATATATATATATATATATATTATATATATATATATATATATATATATATATATATATATATATATATATATATATATATATATATATAGATATAGATATATATATATATATATATATATATATATATATATATATATATATATATATATATATATATATATATATATATATATATATATATATATATATATATATATATATATATATATATATATATATAGATATATATATAGAATTTAAACATTGGTTTAAAACTTTTGAATATTTTTTAGATGTGTTACCTCAAGAAAACATTGACATACTCCTTTATCAGTGGTATAACTTATAATGAAATCCAACAACGACTTCTCAAAAATAGAGCCATAACATTAGAGATTATGTTTGACGAAACTATTGTAATATCTTTCAAAGCAAAATAATACTAACTTAACAGCTGCATCTATCTTAAAACCAACATTAGCAAATACTACTAGTTGTATAAATCCAATTTTTCAAAAGTCTGAGTGTAAACTAATAGCCTCAAAATCTCGCCTCTACAGTGCTAAAGACAGAAAATTTTTTAGCTCTGAAGTACAACGCCTTTTCAAAGAAGGAATTATCAAACCTTCAACATCACCATGGAGATCACAAGTCATTGTAACAAACAAGAGATCAAAAAAGTGCCTAGTCATAAACTATAGTCAAACTATCAATTGTTTTATATGTCTTGATGCCTACCCTCTACCATAAGTAGTTGAACTTGTAAGCAAAATTTTGCAGTACCGATACTTAAACAGCATTGATTTAAAATCACCAGATCCCAATTAAACAAGAATATCGCCTGTTTACTGCATTTGAAGCTGACAGAGGTTTACATCAGTTCATGTATATGCCTTTTAGTGTGACAAACAGAGTAACTCAAAAGTTAGGAGTAATTTCAAAAAACAGTGGACAATTTTATTGCTGATGAGATATTGAAAGACTTTTGCTTATCTTGATAATTTGACAATCTGTGGAATGATGTAAAAGAATCATGGCTACAACTTTAAAATGCTTCCTTTTAGCTGGTAAAGCAAAGAATTTAACTTACAACAACAAAAAATGTGAAACAAGACCACTACTAATGAAACTCCTCATGAAGGACTCTTTACGTATCAAAGATGTTCTGCTAATGCACATTCAATCCAATTATTGCTTGCACAACCTGGCAAGGTGTTATTAAAGAGACATCTTAAAAATTCTAAGTATAAATTTGATGTAGATGAGGTATTCCTAATGGAAGCAAACCCACAATTTATAATGCTTATTTAGCATGCTTATGGTCTAGAATCTACGGTTTCTATTTGTCACCTTGCACTACTAACTTAAGACTCACATACAGTTAACTTACAATTAAAAACGGTATCTAAGCTTATCGGAACAATCTACTGCACACCTGTTACAAGAACCAGATAAGACTGCACACTAGTTACAAAAACCAGATGAGACTGTGTCATTGGATCTTCCTAGACATCCAGTGAGTCTCGCCTTGCCATGTTCAAGAAGGTTGAATATGATATTTACCAAGATGATCAACTCGAATGCACACGACTCCAAATCGGTTTGATCTTTGAACAATAGACTACTTAAAACTTAAAAATGTAGGGGAGAATGTGATGAAATTGATCATTATTATTGTTTTATAATATTTCTTATTGTTTTAGGTAATAAAAAGTTAAAAAGAAATTATTCAGTTATTGTCATTTATCCTTCAAGTACACATCAAGCTAAAACAATCTTTTAAATAGTTTTACGCAGAATAATAACTACTTCATTTAATTTAAGTAGCCAGTTTATGTAGGTTAAATATTTGGCTTAAAATTTTCAACTGAAAACAACAGGTTTAATGCAATGATTTTTTGCGTCCCGTAAGTAACATTGCATATAATCAACTATAATTCCTATAGTTATAATAATTAAACGAAATTTCAATATACAGGAAAACGAATAAATGATTTTGGGATGGTTCATATATAAACATATAATCTGTAAAAAAAAAATAATAATAATAAAATGTGACATTACAAAAATCAAAATGTCCCGTA